CAGGTAGGTGTGAGTCTGGCCGTGACCAGGTAGGTGTGAGTCTGGCTGTGAGCAGAACCAGAGTGTTGGCACGTCCCACCACAGTCACAGGTGGAACAAAAGGAGGCCTCCCCTCTTCCGGAAGGCAGCAGACTGACCTTGCTACCCCGCGGGTGCCACCAGCTTTAGTGATGTGACAGGAAAAGGAACGATTTGTCATGTGTAGTACATCCCTCTCTGCAAAGGAAGGGGATCTCTGCTGGTTAAGTGACGGAGCTGGAACGAAATGCTCTGCACGGTAACAGCAGACCGGGTCGGGGGCTCTGAAGAAAGTAAGCGTGGAGATTTAGAGCCCACATTGGGGAAGGGTCATCCTGGGGTCTGCCTAGGAGGGACGACAGAGGGACATACCCGTTTCTAGTGGACGGTCTGTGAAAGATCTCTCACTAATGGCTGGTCGCGTGGATTTTCTTTAGAGGGATGAAGGAAGCGCCAAGTCCTGTTTCCCTGTTGGTGTGGGGCAAGAAACAGAGGCCGCCATGGACCCAGTCAGATGGTATTAGTGACTTTTTCTCTTTTTGATTTCTCAGGCAACCTCAGAACCTGTTCTGGATCCGCAGCAAATCCAAGCATTTGATCAGCTTTGCCGTCTGTACCGAGGAAGTTCCCGGGTAATGTCTGTGTGGTGGTTTAAAATTTCATTTCCCTATTTAGATGGTTTAGGAAGTGCGGTGCATCAAGTCCCATTCTAGCCTCCTTCTGGGCCAGGAAGGTGCTCTGCGCCCCCGGACGGCCAGGTGGACAACTAGCCTGGCCAGGGAGCATGCTGAGCTTGGCAAAGGGTGCAGAGGAAGTGGAGAGATGTCTCTCTTTCCAAAACGGGCTGTGAAGACACAGGACTGCCAGTGTTTTTGTACCACCCCCGAGGATAGCAAGCCAAAAGCCTAGTGCTCATCTGGGAGGTCTCTGTTCATACTGATGACTGCCAGATCTGTCCCAAGCCCCAGGCCTGCTGGACATTCACATGGTTGAATTCATTTTGGCCATGAAAGATAAATTCCAACCAATAGTGGCTTAAACAAGATAGCAGTGTAAATGCAGGCAGTCCAGGACACCTCCTAGGAGCCTCCCGGTAGCTTATAGTCACATGGTCCAAGATGGTTGCTCCAGTTCCAACCATCACATCTGCATTCCGGCTAGCAAGATGGAGGACCAAGAAGAAGAGCATATGTCGTCTGTTTAAGGATACCTCCTGGCAGTTGCACATTCCACTTCCACTTACCTCCATTGTCCCGAGCTTAGATCCACGGCCACATCCAACAGCAGTGGAGGCTGGGCAAAGCAGTCTTCATTCCAAAAGCCATAGGCTGAAACTACTGGGAAACTGGGAGTGTGGGGGGGAGAGCAGACTGGGGGCCACCAGTAGTCAGTGCCGCACCTCAGTCTGGGTGCCCCACGGGCTCTTCAAACCTGATGTTACTCAGAAGTGCAGTCACTGAGCTTTTCCACCTGTCTTCCCGGCCTTGTCCTCTGCCTCCAGAGCAGCACGTTCCCTTGCCCGGTCACCCCAAGCAGACGTGTGGTGGCACGCTGGCTCATCCCCCACCCTCCAGCCACTCACGGGGGAGGTCCCTCGGCTGAGCTGCCCGGTGGCTGCGGCTTGCAGCCCATAGCCGCCCTCTCTCCGGGATGTATTTCTCCCCTTTACAAACTGCCACTGTCCTGGGCCTGGCCTCCTTGTCACTCACAGAGTCACTGTGCGTCCTCCAATTGGCTGGTTAGGTGCCCTTCAGTCCCTCCTCCAGGCCGCTGCCTGGGTCCTGTTTCCAAGCCCAGATGTGATCGTGTCACACCCTTGCTTAAAACACGCCCTGGCTCTCCATCACCGAAAGGATAGAGCTCACACCTGCAGCTCCCCAAGTCTCACCTAAGTTCCAGCCCTGAGCCTGCACAAACTGTGGTGTCACCGCTTCTGTGCCCGGGCTTGCCCTGCCACTCCCCATTCTCAGGCAGACTCCTGCACGGTTGCTTGGCAGCCGGAGGGATTTCCCCCTTGGCGAGTTGGTCTGGGCCGAGGTTTGTGTTCTGGGAGACTTCTCCAGGGGTCTCCTGAGCGGTAGACCCGGCAGCTCTGCTGAACTGGCATCACCTTCCCCTCCCAGCTTCAGCCAAGCTCCACGCCAGGAGCTGGGAATCTGGGCCCTCCAAGGAAGTTCTGCCACTTCACACTGCTGAGCCCTTGTCCGGGGCCCATGGGTTTCCAGATCACTAAGTTACAGAAGTAGAACATAGAGATGTGTCTTTTCGGGGCAGAGCAGGATGGCGAAGTGAGTGGGTGTGCCTGTCTACTCCCCCAGCAGCTGACCCTCCCTCCTCCGCCGCAGGTCTTCAGGGGCTGAGCTGCTAACAGAGTGCAGGTGACCAGTGTCACTGGGAGAATAGGGGAGCTAGGAGCAGGGGGGATGTGTTTGGAGGAGAGGGTGGAGTCTGAGTTCAGCTTTGGGCCACTGAGTTTGAACTGAACAGCTGGGCATCCATGGGGAGCTCTCCCGGCTTCGAAACAGGGAGGTGTGAGCCGGCGATCTTCATTCAGGTCCACTGACCTGAGGAGCTGGAGGAATGAGGAGAGCAGAGCCTGGAGGGCCTCAGCTTGGGGGGGGCGCCCAGCAGTGAGGGGAGCGCGGGCCCTGGCCTCTGCCTGGAGCGGGCGCCCTCCACAGTGACTCGGGATCAGCCGTCCATAGTCAGCGTCACAGCTCCCTGGGACCAGGAGTTAACCAGTCTCATGGCTTTGAAATTAGGAATTGAGGCCCTAAAAGATGACGTGAACTTGCCCAAGGTCACATGGCTGGCTTGTGCGCTGCACACCTGTCACACGTGCCCTGCACACCTGGGATCTGACCCAGTGTTTTTATTCTTCCCACAGTGGAGTGCTGCCTCGGGTCTCTGACCCGGGAGCTTAGGATCCCCTCCACCCCTGTCCACATGCCCTTCCCAGACCCACGACCCCAGCCTCTGCCCTCCTGGAGCCTCGGCTGACGTGTGTCTCCCCTTTCCTAGATCCACACTCTGCCCCCTGGAGCCCCAGCTAACGTGCGTCTCCCCCTTCTCAGACCTACACTCTGCCCCCCAGAGCCTCGACTGACGTGCGTCTCCCCCTTCCCAGACCCACACTCTGCCCCCTGGAGCCCCAGCTAATGTGCGCTCCCCCTTCTCAGACCTACACTCTGCCCCCCAGAGCCTCGACTGACGTGCGCCTTCCCCTTTCCAGACCCACACTGTGCCCCCCGGAGCCTCGGCGGACGTGTCTCCCCCTTCCCAGACCCATGACCCCAGCCCCTGTCCCCCGGAGCCCCGGCTGATGTGCATCTCCCCCTTTGCAGCTGGCCCTCCTGACGGAACTCTCCCAGCACCGCAGCAGCGAGAGCTATAGGCCCTTCAGCGGCTCCCAGAGCGGCCCTGCTTTCAACAGCATCTTCCAGAACGAGAACTTCCAGCTGCACCTTGTCCCCCCTCCCGTGACCGAGGACTGAGCTGCTGTGGGGCCTGGCCCTGTGGACCCGAGACGACCCCAAGGCAACTGGGGGGCTTCTCTGTGACCCCACCACGTCCCGCCTTTGAGCAGAGTTCTGAGCCAGGACCCTGTGCCCGGGTGTGCTCCACGCCAAGGTTCCCAGTGCAGACCCTGCCTGTTCCGCCAGGCTGGCTGACTTTGTTTTGCTTGCTAAGCAAAACGAACGTCGCCACCTCCAGGCAGCCTTTCAGGAGATGCGTTTTGCCTGTTGGCATTTTGTCCTGTCGCCCCTGAAGCCTGGCGAGTTGGTGGTGCCCTGCAGACGGCACACTGGGGCCTGTCATGCTCCATCTGCCCAGCCGTCAGGAGCCCAGAGGACTTCGCGTCGGCTGCTGTTGGGGACAGGAGCAGTGGCCGGCCAGGCTGTGGGGAAACCTCACGACCTCATTGGAGGGAGCAGAGAACCACAGGGGCGGGACGAGCTCCCATCTGATTTGTGTGAAACCCGTGTAGGCCTTTCCCAAACAATAAACGCCTCTGTGTGTGTGATGCTCCCCCGGCCTGTGGCAGCTGTCCAGCTCTGGCTCTCTGTCGAGTCGTGGAGGACGTTGGAGCCCTCTTGCTGCAGGTCACTTGCGTTAGCTTGGGGACCGTGCTGTGAGATCCTGCTTTATTCCCGCCGTAAGCAGTTCTGTTGCAGGCAGGCACCGTTAGGAGCAGCGCGGCCTCCCTGGGTGCTCCTAGGACGGGACGGGCTGTCAGCAGTCCTTTTATGATTTTTGTCCCTGGGACTTTGTACGTCATTAGCCAACAACCGCAGCAGGTCACCACAGCCGGGGACCTAGGCGCCCACCTTACAGATCGGATGCTCCATTTTATCTGTTAACTCAAGGACGAGCGGTCTCTTGCGGACTGACTGACCCTAACCAAGCCTAGAGAAACAGATGCACAGATTTTAATATATTGACTTTCAGTAGAAAACAGACCCTCCTTCTGCCACATACCAGCTACTGGGCAAGTCACCTAAGCCCCGGTCTCTGTAAGATGGCCTGTTGTGAAGACTGCAGGAGAGAGGACGTGTACGCCTCTGGCACTATGCACGCACGTGTGTGTGCGCGCTGTGGAATGTTAGCTTGATTCTGTAACTCCTCCCCAGTCCTCGGCTGCCCGGGGCCTCCCTCCCTCACGATGGAGGCGTCCCCAGTCTTAGGCTGCCTGGGCCCCTCCCTCCCTCCTGATGGAGGTGTCCCCAGTCCTCAGCTGCCTGGACCCTCCCTCCCTCCCGATGGAGGCGGCCCCAGTCCTAGGCTGCCTGGACCCTCCCTCCCTCTCAGTGGAGGTGTCCCCAGTCCTAAGCTGCCCAGGACCCTCCCTCCCTCCCGATAGGGTCGTCCCTAGTCCTTGGCTGCCCGGGGCCTCCCTCCCTCACGATGGAGGCATCCCCAGTCCTAGGCTGCCCGGGGCCTCCCTCCCTCCCGATGGAGGTGTCCCCAGTCCTTGGCTGTCTGGACCCTCCCTCCCTCCCAATAGGGGCGTCCGCAGTCCTCGGCTGCCCGGGGCCTCCCTCCCAATGGAGGTGCGAGGAGACTAAACTGGGGAAGTGGTTGAGCATTAAGGATCACCAGCTGGGTGTTCATTGTAGTTCTGTGAGATGATCTCATACCCACTTCACAGATGGGAAAGCTGAGGCTCAGAGATGCTGGAGAACTTAACCAAGGCGACACACTGAGAAGGTGGCCAAGCAGGGATTTGAACTGAGAACTGTGATTACAAAGCCAGTGATGACGCTACCTCCCCAGACTAAATACCAGAAGATTTCTGGAGCCTAAAATTAAGGCCCAAGGAGCCTGATATTCTCACAGCAAAGCTCGGCCATTGCCCTTCTTTGTTCTACCGTCTAAACGTCCAAGGCGGTCTGCTGCGGATCAGAGTAAACAGCACCTGATTCCTACTCGCTGGCCCCTGCTCCCTTCCATCGGTCCCCAAGCGTTCCTTTATCTCTCGTCACTCGAGTCACAGCACAGTTGAATAAATGACAGCATCTCCATACTCAGATCATGTCTCCCTAAGAATGCGCCCTGGATTGAAGAACCTTGTGGCTCATCGGAAGGCAGACAGAAACCAGCTCTGGAGTCCTGGCAGTGCCGGGCGCCGGGGACGTGGGGGGCCTGAGTGCCAGGCTCTGCCTTCCAGAGCCGCTGACCGTCCCCACGTGGTACTCAGCACATGCTCTACCCCGCAGTGAAGTCTGGTCCCACTTCACCGTTCCTTAGGGCAGAGACTCATCTGGAAATATCTGTGTGATCGGCCAGCAGTAGTAATGACATTCTGGCTAGCACAGGCCACAGGACTTGCTGGGAGGCAGTGGGGGGACTCAGGATAGCAGAGAGGGCTGAGAGCCAGGCTTAGAAAGATCTGGGAGGAGCTACATCACGCCTCTCCCCAGCACTGGTCCTGAGCTCCAGGTACATTTCTGGGTCACATGCCCACCCCTCACTGTGACAGGTGGTAAGAGGAAGGATCTGGGGGAAGAATGTTCCAGAGACCCACTTCAGCTACCATTTGGGGGGGCAGGCACCTGGTCTGGACATTCTTCTCCATGTTGCCCCCTGGGGTAAGGGGGGAGAGAATCTCCCAGAAAGGAAACCAAGGTGCTAATAGGAAGGAAAAATGGATGATGGTCGGCCAGAAACTAGCAGTCTCCGTCACTGCTGTTTCTCCTCTGTGCATGGTAAGCAGTAAGTATTTGGATGATGATTGTGTCACCCCTGAAAACCGTTAGCCTCATGACCCAGCTTCAGCTGAACAGGAGGTCCCTGACCCCCTATGCAGCTCAGTTCTAGGGGGTGCCATGAGTCAGAAGCAACTTGATGCTAATGGGTCTGGCTTTTGGGGGACCCTTTTG